ACCAGGTCAAAGGACATCGATAGACTGACTCGGTGTGTCGTGTATAGCCGCCATCGGCACGGTATATTTTTAACAATAATACTACATGACGCACGAACGAAACAGAAGAATCGTGTGTCTCGCCGCGCCGCTCGACTGATGTAACGACGTTGGGAGCAACCGTGACGGGCGCGGCCTTCCGGATGCGACCGGATGTTGAACGAGGCTCATTACGATGAGCAGTAGTCCTCTGCATAAAATTGTCGCACTGTTCTCTGAATTTGACGACAAATCACAAGTGCTGTTTTTTAATTTGCTAGTAGAAAATTTTTTTAACAAAATCAGTGATCATTTTACAGAATTAAGCAACCGTCATAATAGTTAATTATTTGTCTTGATAAAAATTGACAGCAGTTTCTTCTCAAAATGTAACTATAATTCGTAATGGATGGAAGGATAAAAGTTAAGTGAATGAAAAAACTTTTTGTTGCAAATGTTGTGAAATATGTGTCAGAAAATCATATATTTCTTTGACGGATCAAGAGTCTGCGAAGTTATATTTGCGAAGTTATAAATCTATTTATCTTGACGCTTATGTGTGATTGCTTCTTTATTTTGCTGAGATTTCTATTTCCTGTTTAATCTGCATTTTATCATCTATGCGTTTTAACAGGTACAATTTAATCAGATAGCGCTCGGAAAAGATCGCGATTCCGCTATCTATCAGCCTACGTACATGGAAAGTTCGATTAGATTTCATGCAAAGCGTTACACAAACTTCCTGGATAAATCAGGATTTGAAAAATAAATTTAAGATTTTAATATGAAATATATAAAATCGGAAAAAAATAAAGTGTAACAGAAACGATGAATCTTACAGTATAAATATTGCGTTTTTGATCTGATAATTTTTATGCATTATCGTTTATTCGGTTGTTATTGTTATTTCATTTATGTGCTTATGTGTAGGTAGCGCGCTGACAACGTATACTATCGCGAAACTTTATGACAATAGATTGAACGAGCCCGAATAGCCGACAGGAAGCGTTCCTCGTCTGATTTGTGAATAGGTGTGCGTGCAACCATGTGTTTGCTCTCTGTATATCGCACGCAGGTAACGAAGCGGATCGCCTCGTGGCTTCGTATCTATGTGTTGCATATAATACAGAATATTACGGATTCACCACACCTTTTCTCGTCTGCTATCTCGTGGAACGCACATTTTTTAATTAATTTTGATCTTATTACAATCATTCGCGAATTATTATTCATCGATTGAATATCTGATAAATTATCAACACACATTTGAGATATCAACTTTGAATTCTTAACATCTATGAAAAATTAAAACAATATATATTCAGGTTTGGAATTACAAGCTGTAGTATAAATTATTATCGCGATTTAGATTTGCAAATAGATACAAATATTTTATTTTGCAACTTATTTTAAATAGATTACGTTTTAGCAGCACTTTGAATTGGCTGGAAAATTTTGAAGTAATTTATAGTAAGTTTATAAGTATCAGAAAATTGAAAGAAACGTGAACAAGCGAGTTATACACCCAAAAAGAAATTCTTAAAATCAAAGTGAAAATTCCTCTATAGATGTGCTCTCACATTTTCCTCTCTAGCGAAGAGAATTTCTCTCAATATTAGTTTGGTAATACATGTTATGTTTCTGAGGCAAACGCGCGAAAGAACAGATAGCGTTGTTTTCTCTAAAAAGTATACACCAAATATATATATTTCCTCTTTATATAGACTTTATATAGATATTAGAGCATCATGTCATAGGTGATCGTAGGTCATACATCATACATTTTATCTTGTGTGTCGTTTTCTCGTTAAGTTTGGATGAAAATTTGTAATTGCTAAATGATTAAAAGTTCGAGAAGTATATAGAGATATTGGAAGATAAGTATTTAAACTCTTTCTTTTTATAGAACTTGTCAAATAATGTTTCTCTCCTCGAAAGATGTACGACATATAACCTGTGATCATTTCTGACGCGATGCTCTAATGTCTATCTTATATATGTATTATAGTGAGTGTGTATTATTTTTACATTTGCTTGTGTAAAATCTTTACAACACATTCAGCGTTTTATTCAAATAAACTTCAAAGAAGAGGTTATTAATACTTTTTTGTATTAACTGGAGAAGATGAGTAGTTTATTTTTTAGATATCCTCTTCTCTACACTGTAAAAAATTGCCTAAAAATTCAGACATATTTTTGTCTGAATTTTCAGATCTGGGTGCCTGAAAGTAATTTCAGATAATTTGTCTTAATTATCAGAGTAGTTTCTCTGAAAGTTCAGAATAGTGGCGCGTCTGTCCGAAAAATTTAGAATTGGTGTCCCAAAAATTAGACAACATATTTGAAAGCAGCATCTGTCTAAAATTTCAGACATCCTGTGGTTTTATAACCCGATGCGTGGATGTTCGCGCAGTAGCGAAGACGCAGTAGCAGTGTAACAAATGCAGTTGAAGCAGTCTCAACTGACATCGCGTCGTGGAATCCATTACGGAATATTAGTTAGGTTGATAGCAGAGAACGAGATGTAAGTCGTAGTCGTGGACGTATGGTAAGGCAGAGAAAAACGTAAGTCGTGAAAAGTTATTGTGTGGATACGTTTCACGACTTACGTTTTTCTCTGCCTTACCATACATCATCCACGACTACGACTTACATCTCGTTTTCTGTCATTAGTCTTACATCCGAAAAGTTTTATGATTACGTGGTGTTTGTGTTTTTTAATGAAATATATGTATACCAGTAAGAAACAAGTTTGAATAAGTATGATTTTTTTAAAATACTAACAATATATTTTGGTTTAAAGTATACTCAATGATGCTATGTTTCCTACCGAGCTCCCGACTCCCGAGCCCCACGCAAGCGAGAACATGTACGCGCTTCTCGCTTGCGTGGGGCTCGGGAGTCGGGAGCTCGGTAGGAAACATAGCATCATTGAGTATACTTTAAACCAAAATATATTGTTAGTATTTTAAAAAAACCACATCTAAATTCTGACAAAAGTGTTTGAATATTCAGGCATTGAGATCAGAAATATTCAGACAACTGTAGCTAGAAATTCAGACAACTGTAGCTAGAAATTTAGACAACTGTAGCTAGAAATTCAGACAACTGTGATCAGAAATTCAGACAATTGTGGCTAAAAATTCAGACAACTGTGGCTAGAAATTTAGACAACTGTGACTAGAAATTCAGACAACTGTGGCTAGAAATTCAGACAATATTTTGTCCGAAAATTCAGACAATGTGACTGTAAGAAAACTTCAAACACTTTTGTCTGAATTGTCAGTCAGTAATTTTTTACAGTGTATCTGAGATAAAATTCTCTAACGGGAAAGAAAATTCTCTTAAAATAAAACACTTTTGGTCCTCTAGAAGTAGAAAATATGCATCTCAGAGGAATTTTCTAACTTTAAGAATATATTTTTTGGGTGTAAAAATTCAAGGATGCATAGACGAAATGAGAACTTGAATATTGTATTGTAGTGAACCTGAATGCTCCCAATATTTAAACGAATGATAAAGAGAAAAAAGCAACACATCTTCGATTACTCGTACATTTAGATTTCTCTCTCGGCATTGCTCTCGTATACTGTCGAATATGACGTGACTGAATAAAGTGAAATCGAGTGTCGCTTCCGGTGATGTTTTTTTCTGGGGTGCGCCACAATAAGGATAACGATAATCACTGAGCGAGCCGTGTCTTACTTTACATTCATGACATATTACAATAAAGGCGCGCGCCCGATAGTTGCATAACCCGTCGAAAGTGCATCGCGCACAGTATAGCGAGCCGCGATATATCGTGAGAACGTGATGTCACATAAATTTATCGCATAGCATGAGCTCATGTGTTAGACGATTGAAAAAAAATTTACACAGAGAAGCGAGAGGAATGATGCGCATCGATATTTTGCTGCGAGTCGTATTGTTTTAGTCGGAGTCGGCGCATGAGTCGAATTTAGTTTAGTTTAGTTTCGCTTTCCGTGATTGGTTATACTCGAACAGTCGTGACTGAATCCGACAGAAGTGACAGCGGACAGCTCGCAATCGAAATATTTGATCGAGCGAGTGATAGATAGCGTACGATAAAATCGGCACTGATCAAACTCGCGATGTATATTTTATACACGGTTAGCTTGACAACGAGAAATTCCGCATTTAAAACTTGATTCATACCGAAACTACTACTACTTTGGCGGGTTAATTCATTTCTGTCCAACACCATTTGTTGCGCATTCTATTTTCGCGACGAACAGTTCCATCGATCCGATAGAAAAATCGCGAGGTCCGTCGGCCACCGGCCGAGTCCTCTCGTCGCAGTGAATCGCGAGGCAAGCACGGGGTTCAAATTGAAGTAATTAAAACCCGGGCACGCGGGGGTCAGGAAAGTTGGCTATTGTCAGTCGGGAACGTGCGCCTTGTTAAATTTCTCGGTCGAGCGGGATCCTTCGTCCCAAGTGGAGCGAAACGGATGGCCAATGGCCAATGATGACTCTAAACTCCCTCTTTTGTTCGTCGCGTTTCCCCACCCCCTTGTCCAGCCACCCATCGGGCCGTACCCGGTGCGCTTCCGATTCCCTTTCTGTCTCCTTTTTAAAAGCCCCTCCTTCTCTCTTTTTCCTTTTTCTCGTAAAGTTCGTGACTCACTGGCAGATCTCTTGGAAACGGGTTAAAAAAAGACAACGAGGGTTGTATCTTCCAAGTTCGAGATTTTTCAGCAGCGTCCTCGTTAGTATCGAGACGATAGAACAATTTTGTTATTATTAGCAAAAAAAAAATGCGTTGGAAAATCTGTTTTTCCTTCAGTTAATTATTTTTTTTTTATTCTTCCGCGAAAAGGACGAAACGTGTTGCGCTCTGGAGAGAAGAAGATAAAGAATCATACATTTTGATTATATTAATACATTATATATAATATAATACATTATTGGCGCAAGCTGTGAACGTGTTTAATAAACACGATAAATTTATAACTACAAATATGATGAAAATTGCGCTGGAAAATTGCTGGAAATATTCGACCGCACTTAAAAATTCCGTCTGGAAAAGCGTGAACTTATTTAAAAAATGGAGCATTCGGCGAAAACAAGTTAATCGCGTATTTTCTGGCATGGCATCTAAACGTCACTATGCAAGTAAATATTTAACAAAGCGAGCAGCGAAACGCGCGCGCGAATAATGCTTTATGTTTTGTGTGCTAGGACCGGCGGGGCACACATGAATGCTGGGAAAAAAAGGTTAGACAAATATTAAAGGTAAACAGAAAGAAGAGCCGGATTCAAAGCGTGCGGCAAGCTCGCGCCCGGTCACCATTTTTTTAGATCTGAGCTTTTTTTCATCTCGTACCACCACACTCGATATTTCTTTAAACAGAAGCAACATTGCTACGACATCTCATCACAACGATTCTTCGTTCGTTGACACGATATAATTTGAATCCCGCTATTTGGCATGCGAGAGAAATGACAAAGAAATTATGGAGGGAAAATATATCGCAAGGAGGAAAATATATCGCAAACGAGGCGAGCTCCATTTTTTTTTCTTCTCGCTGCCGCGGGTCTAAGGCGCATTTTCTGTCGTAAGCAGACACTGTCAGGACATCCAGCGTCTGTGATACGTTTCCAATATTTCATCGGCTCGTTTGCGTTATTTCGCTAGACAACTCGTCGATGCGAGATCGTCGGTTCTATGGTTCAGCTTCAGGTTCTATCCGCGCTTTTTATTTTTCCCATTCTTATTTTAATATTCCTTTTTTTTTTTTTATAAGATTTACATTATTATTTACATTCGCAGTATGATATTTATTTTGTTAATTAAAGTCGGAAGGTTTCGAGAGCGTTATTGAATGTTTTGTTTAACGTAGAAGAAAGGCGTGCGTATGTATTTTGAGAATTTACTTGTCCTACGCGTTAATGACAGGTTGTTATTATTGATGAATGAATATCATTATTAATATTACAATTATAATCACACGCACGTGTTTAATAGAGTCCAGTGCAATGAGACCTGAGTGATCGATAATTGGTGCAGCGAAATACAGCATTAGTCGATGCGCCGCGCGTTGCCAATGAATTAATTCGGTCGGTGAAATCGGACTGTTAATCCAATCTACACGCCAAATCAGGAATAATGGTCCGGTAACCGTTCGCGCCTTTTAACGATTCATACATTTTGATTTCGAGGTGCGAATCTGACGGGCAACTTGATTTCTATCTACGTTACGTCGCTCGCGCGAAACGCGGTGATCATTAGCAGAAAATTAGGTTCTGTAATTGAACGTTTGTCGAAATTTCCCCGGGAATTGTTCACAATTGAAGCGTCCACGGCGGCTGCGGAGGTTAACCGTTCGCCGCATACAGGAAATGGGCGTTCTGCGTCGTGTCATCCGTGTGGTCGTATCGGTTACACGGAACGTATTTGGCGCCAGTATGCAGGCGCAACGGCGGAACCAACTTCGAGTGTGGATTGACAATTTCTTTCCGCGCGTCGATTTTCCCCTCCTTCCGTTGATTACACGTCAAACAATTGCGTTCTGACGGACACCGTCGACTTGAAAACGGCCGATTTGCTCAATTTGTCCGGTTCTTCTTGGTCCTCACACGAGATCCTCATCGTTGACAGGGTGTCTCGAGAAATCGGTGATTGCTTTCATCAGCACATTTGGCAGCGAGTTCTGAAACAATAATGAAAAATCAAAATTATTCCGTCGGATGTTCTTGTGAAGGTTAAAAACTCACCGTCGGTTGTTCTTGGAGCCATTTCGCGAAAGTCTTCACGCTATCCAGATGCGTTATTCCCTTCCAGACCACATCCATAGTTTCCACATCTTGCGTCACGTTTTCGCAGTGCAGCCATCTCTCTCTCACTCGATTTCCGGGCGGTACAAATTGATGCTCCCAGGGTATCGCGCAGCCAAACGCCATTGTTTTGGCCGGCCTGCTCTCAGCTTTAGCATCTCTAATCAGATGCTTCCTGGTCATGGCAAGCTCGCCGGCGTCAAGACATTGTCTCGCTGCGGCTCCCTTGTCGGGCACCATCGGCATTTCCTTTATCGACATCTATCCCAAACACAAATACACTATTAATAGAGTGAAACGACAGGTGTTTTATCTTCCCACCGTTGATCTAACGTAGAAGCTTTTAGTCTATTAATTGTTGTGATTTATTTTCACGAACGTACGAACGTAAGTGGTCGCATTATTAATTTGATTGCGACAAGTATCGTCGACATTTTCGACTCGGGACGAAGGAAAATTGCTTTCCCGTGATTCGATGGGTTTTATTGTGAGACGCGAATGTAATTAGGTCGGCCTTCTGATATCGTAAAGTTATAATTCCAATCCCGCAACCGCGTTTTGCCGCTCAAAGTGCGTGCACGCTGTTACATCATGCATGATATTATGATGTTACGCCGTACGTTGTCGGACGAGCGCGATACATTGTGCGTCCATGCACTTTGTTCCCATATACCTGTGTCGTTCTGCTGGCGTCGGCCGTAAAGTCAATTTCGAACATATCTCTGAGGACCTCCTCGTCGATGACTTTGTTGGTGCCGCCTAAACCACGCAGCCACTGACAGAAGTCACGGCATATCCTGTCCGTAATATTTCTGGCTCTCATTTCGAGCGTGGCCTCAGGATCGTAGTCTTTGAGGTCGGTCGCCGTTAAAGGACGCCAGGTGACAGCCTGCGATCGTGGATTTCGGAATTAAGACGCGGAACGTGAAGCCGCGCGAGGATTTCAACGCGCAAGACCGATAATATTATTTTGCGTCGTCGTATACCTTGCGTCGCGGTTTCTTCAAAAAGAGAGCGTAAGGATTCGATCTGGCCTGACCTACTTTATGCTCATCTCCGCTCGTCGAAATGTCTTTGCTCGTCGGGGGATGCACCTGCGGACGTATAAAAGCTTACTCTCAACTAATAATTCTCGAACCGACAAAGCGGACTCCGAGAAATGATAGAATTCATAGTATTAAGTGAGATATTGCATTTTCAACTTGTATAACTGATTTCTTTAGGAAATATATAACATAATAAGAATGCAATTTTCCTTCTAAGATTGCATTCTTGCCTCTGTTAATTTTAACTGAATTTTATTTTAATAGAAATTTAATTTGAATTATAATTATTATGATATTTAAAGGTCGCGATCAAGTTTTTATTATTATAGAAAAGAAATTGATTCTAAACTTGTTCCAGAGGCCGTGTGATCACTCAAAAAAATATTTTGCTGATGTAATTAGATTTCTAGATATCGCAACAAGAATGTATCGCTATTTTTCGTATCTGTGAAAACATTGTTTGTCACATATAGAATTTATAGCAGTAATGTTCTAGCAATAGCTTCTGAAAAATTTAGGTACCATTGCTAAATGTTATTCATTGCATGATCTAACACGTGATTGATCTTATATAGATAGGCGCTTTAGAGAAACTTTCTTTTTAAAGTTCACAAACAATACCGATATATATCCTGTTTCTGTCTAAACTGATTAAGTAATTACATATGCAATATCACAACAGTTGCTAATCATTTATCTGTTTTAGTTAATTTTTTACACCTAGAAAATTTTAGCTATTATTGCAAGATCATTTTTTTGAGTGATATTAAGAGGATTTATTCTAATCGTAGATAGATAAACAGTTTTAAAACATTTTCATTTACGTACCACCAAACTGAAAGGAGTTTCACTTTCCACTTCGTCTTCGTCCTCCAAACGTACCGTATCTTCGATTTCTTGCACTCCTTTGGGGGTCTCCTTCGGGTACCAATTCGGCATGCCCAATAATGGCGCGACGAGATTATAGGAATTGAGTGGCAGAATTCGCCTCAACAGACGGGAATTGCAAACGGGAGGCTGTTTTGCGGAGAAAACGAGGTCAGATGGGAACTTATCGGGGCTCAAATAACGTTTCGAGTTAGCCAGTAACTTCGTTAATCTTGCGGCTAATTTAGCACGCCTTATTACCGCCGTCGAGTCGGCGTCGTGTTGTTTTATCACTCGCGAGGAAAATTCATTTGCCAGAATCTGGAGCATGATCGCGGCCGACGCGTCTTTTAGATTTACTTTCTTCAAAAATCGCGAAATTTCGGCGACTGTCAACAGCGGTAATTCCGCCCCCTTCTCCGCCTCTACTAAGCCGGAAGAAGCCAACTCTTTCGCGGAATCTACCTTCTCCAAAAAGATTACTTTTTCTCGCCCATCTTCCTCCTCGCTTCGAGGAGTCTCGAACGTACTTCTCGTAGAATCCTTCGATAAATTCTTGATGCCCATGTAACTGTATCCCCTCTTCAGCTCGCCCTTTCGCGTCGGTTCTGCAATAGACGATATCAGCTGCTGCTCTGATTTAACTTTCAAGAGGACTCTCGGGCTCTTTAAGGACATGTCTTTCTCGTCGTCGATTTCTTCGGATTTTTCGGCAACTTTTCGCTTGTCTTTTGATATTTTTGACGTTGCGGGTTTTATATCGTCATAATATTCCTCGTCGGATTTCTCCTTTGTCGATGTCACGCTCTCCATAAGAGCGATTCGCGCTTCCATGGTGGTCGCTTTTCTATACTTCAGGGCTCGGAGAGGTTCCATACTGGGTAGCAGGATGGTAGGCAGGTGGCAAGGCGCCATGTTTTTGTACTGCGACGGATCATTATCCAGTGCCAGCGGAGATGATGTCTCATCGTCGGATGTGTGCGCGTCCGAGGACGAAACTTTCGACTTCTCCGACGATATCGAGATTGAACTAGAAATGGCTTTCAAACTCTTGGAATCTTTCGACAATAAGTTTTCAGTAGGCTTCGGTGTTTTACCTTTAGATTGATCTGAATCGATCTTCATTGAAATCACGGTGTCCTCTTGTTCTACTCGATGCTGTTCGTCTGACATCGATTTACTTGATAGATCCTCAATTTTTTCACGATACTTAACTTTTTTCCGCAAATATATTTTTCGCAATTCTCCAGAAAATTCCGGAAGTTCGTCGGAACTGGATTCGCTGTCGTCTTTTCCTTCTATTTTCGTTAGCGGTGTTGTTCGCGAAGAGATATCTTTGATTTCGTCCATTTTCCGCCGAGATTTATGCATGCAGGACAAGCATCTATCGCAGTTTTTGCGTCGAAAGCATGACACTTTTGGAATGGCGTCTAAAATGCTCGCCGAAGGGCTTTCCCAGATTTCATATCTAGCGAACTTTGTGCTGAACGCGGACTTGGCCAACGATTTCGCGGGAATCATTGACGACTTGTCAGAGCTGGATCTCAACAGCTTGTATTTATGTTTTTCGACATTTATATCCAATGTTTCCTTCAATCTTTTTTGCACTTCAAGGAAGAAAGGAAATTCTGGGCTGCGAGTCCCAGATTCGGGACTTTCGCTCTCAGCAACGTCTGACTTGTCGTCCGTATCTACTATCGATCTGTCGGTGGAGGCGCGTGATTTATCCGATGTCTCTATCCACATTTTGGTCTTGAAATTTAAACTTTTGTCAAGCGTTAAGTGTCTCAAAGCTTTATATGCGTATTGTTGCGAATAAGTTAAAAATTCTGACGTTCTGGCATCAACTGTCTGCTCCGGCCACATTTGAAAGTTACATTGTGTCTCATCAGATATTATATCTTGTCATTCTGATTTATTTATAAAATTCTCCTGAATTTTAAAAGCTTTTACATATTTATGTGACTTCAGAGACTTTGCTATTGATTTATCTGAACCTATTTTAATTCTGTTTTGAGAATGATACAGTTTTGGAAACGATGCAATTTTTAAACTATTTTTCTCCTTTATTGATCTTTTGCCGATAGAAAGTTTAAGATTTGGTATAAGAACATCCGATTTAAGGTTGCGCTGTTTATTGAGTGCATCATTCTCTTTAGTTTTAGATTTGACCTTTATAATTTCTCTCGCCGTTAAATCAATAACATTATCCGAATAATACTCCAACTCTTTTCGCGAGAAAGCATTCATTTCAATCTTTTCATTCTTGGCAGAGGTTATTTTGTTTTTAATTTTATTGTGTTTAGAGGCATTCGGCAATAGCGGCAATTTGTTCAATTTCTGTTCCAACAACACGCTTGCTCTCGGATCGTCTGACAAATATTTCTCGATATCGTCGTCGAAAATTTTCACCGCGGGCTCGTGTTTGTGAAAGGGGCACGTCCTCTTTGAGTACACTTTTCCATTCCCCAATCCGTCATGTGGCATGATAGAATTTTTGGGAGGAACATCAAGAGATTCTTCACACAGATCTACTTTTCTCCTCGTCGATTTATTTTTAACAGCAGTAAGCGTATGTTCTTCTATGTTTTCAGTAATTGTGACTGCGTCAATTTTTGGCGATTTTTTCAATGGCGTGGGAGGAGAAATTTTAACTATCGGCTCCGTGTTGGGACGAATTTTTTCACTGCCTTGTTTTAGAGAAGTATCTGACGCTTTAGAGAATGAAAATTTTGAATCTACAAGAAGTACGTTCTTATCGAAACCTTGAAGAGCGGAAGAAGTGTTAGAATCTACGATATCGCAAAAATTTGTTTCAGAATCGCGTAAGTTGGGAATATTTGGAAGATAGGATAATTTTGGAAAGAAATTTCTTACTCTAATCAATCTCTTTTCTTCATTGTCGTAAAACTTTTCCCAATACGTTTTTGATTTGGGAAAAGGATATTCCCATCTGTAACAAGGTTATATCTAAGACAAGAGATTATACAACAAATAATAAATGACATAATAAATTCTTAATCTATACGATAATAATTCAGCAGAATATTTCATATTTGTAGATGTATTTAATCATTTATTATCTTACGATACTTTTCTGTGACGTATTGTTTGGTGCAATGAAATAATAAGAAATGTAATTAGCGACAAAATTTGGTTATAAAAAGACGTATCTTTTTCATAGCATGCATAGAGATTTTTATATTAGAGAGTCCTGTATTTTTATAATATTCATATTATTCTACATACTTTGTATCATCGATAACTCGTAGTTTTTGCATTGGAAAACAATGTCTGGGCTGCTTCAGCTTTGATGAATGTGACATTTTGAACAATTTATTTTCCACACTGCGTAATAGATTGATGAGCTTGTTGCACCGATGCAATTTTTATATTTAATTAAATCACGGTTGCAATTTCGACGGCATTCTGTGATTGTCGGTCTGGACTACTGAAGGTATTTAGTTCAATCATCGATCAAACAATTCTCTCGAAGCATAATATACGACAGATGCCAGTTTTATGATGAGCTTCTCGGTACTGGGAAGAGATGGTGGTACTTCCCTCTAAAGCTTGTATTGATCGCGTATAACACTACCGTGCTCTGTATCATCGACTGATGTTCACCGCGTTGTTCGATCCATTTTCAACCACCAACCTAGCACAGCTACCCCTAAAGATAATTGAGAGTATATCTATTATAGATAATATTGAAATACTAAATATTTATCTTAAGAAGATTCAGACATTTAATACAGTATTCAAAATTTGACGAATGCCTCACAAGATGTCTTTACTATTTAAATATTGCATTTTATAAATATTGATACAATTGCAAAAATACATATACATTCTAGGTAATAAATATAACGATGAATTTTAGTTTTTTTTTTATTAGTTTTTTTATAAAATTGAGAAAAGATCATATAAAATAAATTTTTTTTTTTGTATTAGATAAAATCATTAATGATTTATTATTTACATTCTTTTTAAAAAATAATCTTAAATGCAAAATACAAAATATTATTTTTATAATTTTATATCTTACGAAGAATGCATCACAGTAATTATTTTAGTTTCAAAAGAGCAGAACATCTTTTCGCAACGGGCATTGTAAAGTTATGCAACTATGGTATTAACTGTCGGGCAATAAACTGTGCGACATAAGTTGCACTCGCTAGCTTTGGAGGAAGCTCGAAAACTTCGAATTCGCTTGCACATGTGTGTATTTTGTAATAAATAGACGCATTTGCGCTAACAACAAGTCACAATAACACGTACACAATAACATAACAATAACGATAATTTGTGTATAATTACGCGGAGAGGAGTTTACTAACGTTTTCACTATTGTACGTTGACCTATGGCGGGACAAGATATCTGTGTGGTCGCTGCCTTACTTCCGTTGCCTCAGCTGTCGCCAATTCCGGTCGGGTGACTCGATGCATCTCGCATTCAACGAAGAAGGTAATTGGATGAAAATCATTATTTGCCGCGCTTTATTGCAAATGAGAATTCCTTGTATATTGATGTTACAATTTGTCATTTTAAGTGAAGTATTTGATCTTAAGAGCATATTGCTAAATTGAATAAAGATATAATAGAAATTATATTTTATAAAATATCGTCTTTAAATATTGTACTCTAATTGAAATCTTTTTCACAAACATGCAAATATTATATATAAAATAGATGTCGAGCGTTGACAAATACAAGTGCAGATTTTCTTCAAAATCGAGATTTATCATCGGAATTATAATTACGATTTCGACAAGTAAAAAGCTAATTACGACAAGTTTAATTGAGATAGGATATTGGTAATATTACTGAAATTGTATATCATTAATCGTTTATACACTACACACTACACACATATACAAACAATGCAATAATTATAAAAGATTATTTGAGCTTTATAGAATTTTATTATTATATATGTTTGCGAAACGGATGCGAATGCAGTTGCGAAGAACACTATTTAGGATTAACTGTATAAATATTTTCCTGAAGTTTGTTAACGGATTATTCAGCATTACTACTTGTTAAATGCGAATTTATCGGTTTGGTCGCCCGATCTGTCGACGATCTCTCGACATGTTGCGGTCCAGGATCGATGTTTCGAATCCGCGGAATCTCGAGGTCTTTGATCCGTGCTACACTTCGCGACAGTACATTGGAGTAGGACGTGTTGGAATGAGTAATTCGTGGTTCGGTGGAGTTTGACAGTTTACTAAAAAGCTCTCTGCGCCCGCGGGAGGTGGTTGACAGTCAGGAGAATGCGTACACGCACACATTCTGCTTTACTGGTGTAGCCGCGTACAACGGCATTCATTAATGGCGTGCCTGCTTTGCCTGCAACTCGTTCCGTAGATATTTTCTGCAGATAATATTAAAATAATTGCGAGCAAAGGGCGTATTTTCAAGTATAAGATCTCTCCTTTTAGCATTTCTCTTTTTATCTCTCACGCTTCCAATTTTTTAAATTGTTCTGTTGTGATAATAAAGTACTTATTTAAATTAAAGATACTTAACTATTATCGTACTGCAAACAATATTTTATTTCACGACTGGAATGCAATAATGTCTATGAACAAATATTTGCTTTGCAAGGGTAAAATTTGCTCTGTATAATAGCTATGCGATATGAAATGTAAGCGTGTAACGGTGTGTGTTATATATAAAGGTCGAATATTGTCTTTTAGCTCTGGAATTGTTTTTGGATTATCGGCATAGACTTTTCCCTTTACGTATCTCTAAAGAAAAAAGTAAAACGGTGTTAAATCGCATGCTCTTGGTGGCCAATTGACGTTTCCTCTTCGAGAAGTAACACGACCAGGAAATTTGGAGTGCAATAATGCAATTGTTTCAGCTAGCTTTGTACCATCCTATTGAAATCACATATTGTCCAAGTCCATATCATCCAATTCAGGCCATACAAAGTTCCTTATCGTGTCACGATAGCGTTCATCATTCACTGTAAACGTTTTCTCACTCTCATCCTCGATAAAGTATGGTCCCATCACTCTAGCCAAAAAATCGCACCAAACAGTGACTTTTTTTGTATGCAATGGTCGTCTTTGAGTAACTCTTCGATTTTTAGCACCCCAAATGCGACAATTTTCTTTATTAACGTATCCATCGAGATCGAAATGAGTCTCATCGCTTAAGATAATTTTCTTGAAAAAATCATCATCAATTTGTTTATTGGGTTTTCACAATAAGTACGCTCGATCGAATAGTGTTTCGTGACTAAACCGCCGTGTTTTTAGACGATAACTGTCAAATGAGCACTGTACGTTTCACACAACAAAAATGCCGCGAAATTCAAAATGAAAGCTTTTATTGGGACACCCTGTATTATTAGGAACTCCATTAATGGACAGTATTGTACGACACGTTTTGCGTTTCCGAAGTGTGTGCGTGTGCATATCGGTTAAATGTGAGGGTGTCACCCGACCCACTCGTGCGGAAATCCCGGGGAATATTTGAGTAGCGAATGTCTAAGCAGCATCGGATATCAGGCCGTCTGATACCTTACTCTGACAGCGGGTCGTCGACGCGTGCAAAGTTAGTCCCGGTATGACAATGATAACGAGAAACTCACCGGAAAATTACATGTGTTTTCCACCATGGACGGGGGTATAATTTCATTGTTCGAAATGCAAGTTTCATGTTTCCCGAATATAAATTCTGATTAGGAATTCTACAATATCACAACATGGTTTATGTAATATTTGTTTATGTATTTATTTATCAATGAAACTTATCAAGTTCCCGGAAAGCCGCATATTTTGATAAATGTTATAAAAGAAACTTTATCGCAAATCGTATAACTTTATAAGTTTTCTCAGAATTTAGCATGTAATTTGATTACAAATTTAATTCGAGATTAAATTTGAAGGTGAAAACTCATTTACTTATCAGATTACAGTTTTGTAAACTGATAGGTTAACTCTAACCTGTTCTTCCCATTTGATACACATAGCTGAGAAGTTATTTCAAGCGTGTCTCCATTAACCCGAATGCATCTTATTTTATCAAAGTATTCTATTACAAGAGCGCTCATGCAAAATTGAAACGTATATTGAATACATGAATTGCATGTTGTCGCTTAAGGATCGCTTACGGTTATATTTGCTAGAAAATATAACTGGAGTATGTACACCGAATAATTTTCATGTCGCTGATCTATATAGGGTGTCTTCGGAAAAAAGTCAATATTTAAAAAAGTGCTGGTTATTGTGATAAAAAAAAGTTTCTATAAAACTGTACTCTAGTTTAAATAACAATTGAGATAGAATTAATTAAATTAAAGTGCATTTATGGTGTATGTGTTACGTTATACATTATTTTTGTACGTTATACTAAAGCGATATTTGGATTTGCGAGATATATTTTACAAAGTCCTCAATATATTTTACAAAGTCCTCAATATATTTTACAAAGTAATCAATATTATTACCTTGCAAAATATTGATTTTTCTTCGAGTCACTCTATATATAAAAAAGATCTAATCAACATCGTTAAATGCAGTTTGAAATGGACACGCGCGCGTCTCGTGGCAATTAATGGCGAAATGGAATTGCTCTTTGTTACGGGAAAAATCGCGGATAACGTTTCTCGCGCCGCCGCGAACGAAGTAACGTTAAAGCGCAGCACGGGAACGACGATGGGATCGGTACGTGAGATTACTTTGGGCTTTCAGTTAACGTACGGCTTTGAAACAAGGCGCACACGGCTGTTTCCTCGCTGCCGACAAACTTTAATTTAACTCGCTAGCATACGTCAGACATATTACAATCCTTACGCTCTGGCCTGATAATCACCCGGTGCCTT